AATAATGCGTTTATGCAATTCTATCAAGCATACGTTTCCTTTTAAAAATGTTCATTGCTTTGCTGTCTCACATGAGCAGGAAAAGTTAGAAAACTTGTACTTTTTCTGTATGTGAAATCTAGGCGTACGTGGAGCCTAAGTCTAAAATTTCCGAAGCCGTATATAGGCAGAAAACATCTTCAAAATTCGGCTTCCTGCCTTATCTGGTTTCAGGGCTAGGAGATTTTCCGCCAGAGGGCACCCAATCGTGCGTGAAGCATGAGCACATATTGGAAGCGAAATCTAAAATTTTCGGCGTCACACGTGGGCGCACAATACTCTCTCAAATTTTGGCTTACAACTTTTCTGATTTCCGAATCAGTATTTTATCGGCCCAAATCTTACGTACGCGTGCGTAAGACCCAGATTTACGCAAGAAGTGAATTTGAAATCTTTTGGTTATGCATAAGCACTGAACACTCCCACAGAATTTCAGCCCCTAACTTTTCTATTTCCCGAATAATAATTTTTGCACCGAAACTTTTACGTGTCCGGACGTGAGACTTAGGCCACATGAAGGCTGAATTTAACTTTACGGGGCTTCACGAGAGAAAGAAACATTCTCCTAAAACTTCAGCCCCCTAACTTTTGTGTTACCCATGTTATTAGTTTAGGCGCCAAAACTTTCACGCGGTCGTTCATGAGGCCCAGGTGTACGCAAGCTTCGAATTTCAGTTTGCGAGATCACAGGTGGGTAGAAGATCACCCCTTAAAATTTAAAATTTCTAGTTTCTCCAGTTCATGAGTTGAAAACCCCGGATAAAACGTACTCGAAACACAAACACACATACAGACAGGGCTTCGACAACACGCGTTTTGTGCAACTGTTGCAGTACAAAATGCATTAAAACTGAAGAGGGACAGGGGATGCTCTGCTGGAAAAAGAGAATAAATGACAGATATGAGTAGAGAATGATAATCAGCCTTTTTCTTCTTACACCAGCTGCTCCACGTTCCACATATGCGCCTCGAGACTGAAGTTCCGTCCCTACATGATAATAAATAGCGGCGCACACCAGGGCAGTCGGTGCGGTCATGCGTTTTGTGGAATTTTCAATGCTTTGCATTTGTTCTATGCAAAAGTAGCTGAAATGTCCCACTAGGCACGCATTTCCCACTAAAAATTTCACGCACATGAGATAATAACTTCTCAGTCAAAACTTTCACGGGGCTGTACATGGTACCCGGGGTGCGCGAAGGCTGAGTCCAAATTTGCAGAGTTTACGTTTATAGAGGAGATCATCTTAAAATTTCAGATTCTCAACTTCCGCGGTCTCCGAGATAATAATTTTCCCCGCCGAAACTTCCACGGGGTCGTAAGTGATACTCGGACGCGCGGGAGCTGAATTTAAAATTACAGGATTGTAAGTGGGCAGAAAACATTACCAAAAAATTTCAGCTTCTTGGTTTCTATGGTTCCCGAGATAATAATTTTCCCGCAAAAATTTTCGCGAGGCCGTAGGTGATACCCGAGAGTGCGGGAACGCTGAATTTGAATAGGCAAGGTCGAGCGTGGGCAAAGGATCATTGTGCCTAAAATTTCAGCTTCCTAGACTTCGTGTTTCTCGAGATAATAATTTCCCCGCAAAAATTTTCACGAGGCCGTACATGTTACCCGCGGGCAGGGGAAAGCTGGATTTAGATTTCCCGGGAGCACATGGGCGGAGGGCATGCCCACAAAATTTCAACCTTCTAGCTTCTTTGGTCCCCGTGATAATAATTTTACCCGCCCAAACTTTTACGGGGCCGTACTTGTTACCCGTGGGTACTGGGAGGCTGGATTTAAATTTGCGGGGTCGCACGTTGGTGGGGAACATTCTCCTAAATTTTCAGTTTCCTAGCTTGTGTGGTTCCCGAGTTGAAAGTTGCGGACAAGTTGCTGCGAACACGCACACACACAGAAAACCCCGTGACAATATGCGTCTTGTACTGCTGTTACACAGCACAAAACGCATAAAGAAATGGCATTATTTATATTATTAGACAGTTAGTTAGGTACTGCTTATTGGTTGAATCGAGGCAGCAGTTTGTGGTTGCCGCTGTTTATTTTGAAGAAAATCCTTCAACATTCTCTCTTAGCAACAAACAGTTCGATGTTTGTGCGCAACTACTAGTTTCGTAGCTTACAGCCAAACTCATAAACGAGTGCAATTTGTGTAGTCGAGGTGTGATGAAATGAGTTTTCGTGCTTAATTTTGTCTCCTGCACCATGATGGGATTCTGAATTAGAAGACTGTTGTAGCAGTGGAAGAAATAGAGAGGTGAGTGCGGGAAAAGGAGGCAGGACGTGCAGAAGTGAGGATGGGCGAACCACTGAATTAAGTATTAAGAAATTAACTTTCTGCAAAGCTTGCCTGAATTCGATCGAAGTAGTCGAGCACTACGATGAAAAGCATGTTCAGCACGGCAGCCCAGACATACAGTATGCCAAGCCCAAATCCCCCGTGACAGTACCTAAGCAAAAGATGAGTCAGTTTTTTTTCGGATTAAACGAAAGAAATAAACGAGGATTACCTCAGAATTCTTTGAAACCAAGAAAATTGCGGACAGCGAAGCGCCGAGCGATAAACTCTTTCAGTTCGTTTTGCAACTTCCGGCCAATGGTACATATTACTGACTGCGGCGTGCTTTTCCTCGGGCGCCATCAACTGGCCCTCTTCTCGTAATCGAATCGCCTCCAGCAATGCATCACTTAGATCTGCTCAATGAATTTGTTCCTTTACATTCCAAATTGTCAGTGACAATGACTTTGTACGAGAATCACCTCGAAAATGAATCACTATGTATTTTGCATTATTAAAAAGTGGTAAAACAGATAAAAATTTGGACTCATGTGTTTTACATTCTGCTAACTTACAAAACATATGACTTTGAATGTCCTAGTTGGCTAAAACTTACATTTTTACCTAGAGGAAATGCGAGATGCGACACATTTTGCATTCTGTCTGACTCAGTCTGGGTAGTGTGAGCGTTTCTAAAATCTAAGATGTGAGCTAATGGACCAACCATCAGCCAATGGTTGTCTCGTCACGATGAACTCTTCTGGAAGTACTTCCGGTATGCCACCAACTCGTGTTGAAACAATGTGAAGCCTGTAACTGAGGAAAAGTGAAAAAAATAATTGGCCAACGCACTGCGAAGATGTGTTTTTTGCACGGTTCCCCGCAGATTTTTGTCACTATCGGCAGTGCTTTTTCCGGCAGATGCTTCTAGCTAAAAAAATTCCAAACTGGCTGATACGACTGTCAAGAAGCATCCCTTCAAAATTCCAGTCTTCTAGCTTCTAAGCTTCCCGAGTTAGCAACTTACCCGAAAAAAACATTCATGGACCCAAACGTGGAAATCACTCACATCCGGCGGTTGGGTTCCAGCTCATTAATACTTACCTGGACGAAGAACATCCCTTCAAAATTCCAATCTTCAGCTCTTCAAATTCTCGAGTAAGCAAACCACCCGAAAAAAACTTGGCGGGACCGTGCGTGGGTATCGCACATATCCGAGGGCTGAGTTTCAGTTATTGGAACTTACGTGGACGGGGAACATCCCCTTGAAATATCAGCTTTCTAGCTTTTGTGGTTCTCGAGTTAGCGGCTTACTCGCAAAAAACTTTCACGGGCCCGCACGTGGGTACCAAGCGGATAAGAGCGCCCATATTGGGGAGTGCGGCCCGTACATGCATATAGATTAATTTCCCAGAGTACCAGCCCTGCTGCTTTTGTAAGTCTTGAGATGAAAAACTGTGACAGAAGCACACACGGACGTCAATATGCGTTTTCTGCATTGCACAGCTGCAAAAAATGCAAAAAAAAAATTGGTATAAAGCGAGTAGCATCTTCAAATTACCAAGAAAGGAACGAAGGGAGCAGAAATTGTTCGAATGGATGCGAAAAATTACCCACAAGATGCGGCTTCAACAATGCTCATGCAGAATGCTTCTGTCAATGAAGTGTTGAGAAATATTTGTCCCATAACAAGCACGTCACGCACCTGAAACTGCTGCTCCTATAAAACGATGTAACACCGCATACTTTTGTAAAAAACTAAGCTATTACGGTGACGTCTTGGGAAACCGCAAAAACTAACCGTGCGTCGTCAAAACATCAAGTGCAATCCAACGCCGAGGGCAGCTAAATCAAAGTATGCGGAAAACTTAATACCATCAAGACTGCTTAAACGATCGGAGAGGCTTGATATTACGGAAGTTGCGGAGTGCTTCCTCCCACAAAATCCCGGCTCAGGCATTTCAACCTGTTGTGGGAGCGGCAACGGACTATGCAGTGTCGAGGCACGGTGAAGCACAACCTATCAACTCCAAACATGTCGAAGCGTCGTGTTTGTTCAACCAAACTTGGGTGGTACGAACCAGTGTCGGTATAAAAGCAGCAAAGGTCCCGTAGCTACCTACGCGAAAACACAAACATACACCAATACAATGCATTTTTGAAAATAACATGAATGAAGAGGGATAACTCCAAAACTATGCGTCCCTTCGCTCGATTTACGGTGGCGGATCGGTAAACGAACAGCGAAAAGCAGCTGAAAATCCCGAGTTTCGTATGGATGATGCCATGAAATGATCCGATGGGAAACAAAAAACACTGTGTCCCGACCCGATGAAAAACGATTTTGCTCGGTAGCAGAGAAAACTGACACAATCGGATTTACCGCCCATAAAAAATAGCATCCACAGGTCATTTACTGCCCGTTTCATTCGTTAAAAACCAGGGTACTTCTCCCTAGGTCGGACTCTAATACGGCTCTTAAGATCACCCAAGTTTTCATCGGAATTCGCAAGTGTCCAAGACGTCGCATGGGCAACAACTAAAACTCGGCTCAGTTCGGCTACTCAGTATGCACTTGTTTTTAGGTTTCGCTGTGAACTGCGAAACTCGTAGTCGCAAACAAGCGGCAGTTATTTGTTCCGGTCTTGTCTCGGTGTACTGGCCGGGTTAAGGATTGTCCCCACCACCCAACCAGAGTCAGACAGAATACCATGCTTGGAGATGTCACAATTTCTACCTCGGCTTGCCTCGACACCGGTCAGTCCTTTGTTATTCCGTCATCACGATGAGACGCCTAAGTCGCACAGAAACATTCAGAAACAAACAACAGTGCGCACTAGTGCGATTATGCGTTTTCTGCAATTCTTTATAGTGAACGTTTGGTGTTAAAGATGTTCACTGCTTTGCTGTTTAACATGTGTTGGAAAAGCCCGAATGTTCTGTTTGGTCAAAACTTACATTTTTCCGTATGTGAGATCTAGGTGTACGTTAACGCTGAATTTAAGTTTGCGAGATCGCATTTAAGGGGAAGAACATCCTCCTAAAGTTTCAGCTTTCTAGCTTATCTGGTTCCCGAGTTGAAAGTTCACGGCGGAATGCATTCGGACATGCACACACATGATAGAGCGTG